TGATAAATAACGTAACGCTTGCAGGTCCAGTGACGCTTGTTGTACTACTCATCATAAACTCTGAATTCGAGAGACTGTTGTAAGACCCGGCTCAGAATATGCACATGATATTCGCTGATCCCTGCAACTGGCCGTCAAATCTCGTAATTGCAACCGCAGCCCTCGACTAATGCAAGTCTGGAGCGAGCATCTCTACGCTATCAAGAAGCGCGCCTAATCGCGTCCGCGTACTCGCACGAATGACCTACAGCGCCTTCCAAATGCGTCTCGTTCTCCATCTTCGCACCCTCGCATCTCCTCATGCTCCATGGGCGGGCTACGCCCGGACCGCTGCAGCCCTATCCCGGCGCCGGGGCTCACCAGCGGATTGGTGCTCGAGGGCGGTCGACAGCGGTCACGAGTTTGCGCGTGACTTCACCAGGGGTGCTCGAGCAGGCAGTTGTACCTTATAATGGGCCACGACGAGCTTAAGCATTCACATGCTCCCTCCGAGCTTTAGCCGATTTCGAGCAGAGTGGGGGTAATAAGAGCTTGGGCGGTTGCTGAGGGCTCGTCTGCCCTGCCACACACGAAGCTACACGACGTCCAAACGACAGGATGGGACGCCTATTCAACATCTTCACGGCTGCCTTCTGTTCGATAGGTACGTGGTATCGGCAGCACGAACGTCCCTGGTACCGACAGAGTTCACTCATTTGATCTCCCTAGGTGCCTTTTTGTTTGGGTAAGCCTTCTTCGAACCCATGTTCTGACGAAGACTGATAACATTCGCGAATGCGCAGATATGACAGGTGAGCCGGCTTCTCTCTTCGGGCTTGTCAGGGAGCTCACCAATTGTGTAGCGGAATCATCGCCTCGGTGATCACCTTCTCCGCGTTCAAGAGCTTCATCGGACCCGCGAGCCAATATGATAGCTTGTCTGGTGCCGTGGTGTCGACATTCACTGGTGGCTGTTTCTTTGGGGCTGCTTTGGCAGGATGGTAGGTCCTAGACGGGCGTCCCATTTTCTGGCGTTCTCAAATCTCTGCCAGGTCAAGCGACAGGCTCGGCCGTAAACGAAGTACACAGGTATGCGACCTGTTGATTCATGCGACAAGCACCCTGCCTGAACTTGATGTATAGCTCGGGGCAGTCATCGCACTGTGGGGATGCGCGATGCAATCTGGAGCCAACAACTTTGCGTGTATGCTTATAGGCCGTATAGTGACCGGGTTCGCCATCGGGTATGGATTATTCACTGCGTTAATATTACTCCTAGCCATTAATCACACTTAACTTAGGATCCTATCCATGACCGTTCCTCTGTACAACGTACGCGTCCTGTCGGCACTTCATGCGCTGCGCTAACCTCGCTTATACAGACAGAAATTGCCCCACCGAAGATCCGAGGCTTCGTTGTCGGCCTCACGCAACAAATGATCGGCATCGGATTCATCGTCGCTAACTGGGTCGGCTACGGCTGCCAGTTTCTGGACGGCAACCAGGGGTGGCGCCTCGCGCTCGGTCTACAGCTCGTCCCCGCCTCTCTCCTGCTCATTGGAATTCAATTTCTGCCTTTCTCTCCTGTACGCCTTATGATTGTCCCACGCATAAGACCAAGCGAGACTAACTCTCCTCCAGCGCTGGCTCCTCGAGCAGAACCGCGACGACGAAGCACGTGCGGTCGTCTACAGGCTGCACAGTGCCTCCACTCCGGAAGAAAAGGAAGCTGCAGAAACCGAGTTCCTAGAGATGCAGGCCGTCATCAAAGCCGAGGCGTCCCAGCGGTCCAGGAACCTGTCCGACCTGTGGGCCACCCGAGCGATGCTCAAGCGTACGCTCGTCGCCGTGGGCGTGCAGGTGTTTGGGCAGTTCTCCGGGATTAATGGTAAGCGTGACATACGTGTTCGGGTTGTGGGTGCTGAACAGTGGGATAGTCATCAACTACTTTGGCCCTTCGATGTATCAGGCACTCGGCCTGAGTCCTGGCCAATCGTTGCTCGTGCAAGGCATTTACGGTGCCGTTGGGCCTATCACAAACTTCTTGTGCGTATCCCTCCCGATATATCTGTACTCGTACTTACATCTTGCGGGCAGTTTCATTACCCTCATCCTCGATACCGTCGGACGCAAGAAGCCGCTCATGTTTGGCGCGGGTAGCTTTGTGGTTACATACTCGATCCTGACAGCAATTGTCGCGTGTTTCCCTTCCGAAGTCAATGGCGTCGCGAACACACATCACGCTGCACAGAGGGCTGGCATCGCTATGATCTTTTTGACAAGCATCTTCTTCTCTCTGTCCTTTGGACCAGTGTCCTGGGTCCTTGCTTCTGAGGTTAGTAGCTGTACCCATTTATTTCATGGAATATAAACTTACATCGTTCACACCGCAGGTTTTTCCAATGAGGACTCGGTCGATGGGCACTTCTGGCAAGTACTCCTTCGTTCTGTCCGTGTCTTTTACAAGACTGACGTCTATATCTTTCCATTAGTGGCCACCTGCGCGAACTGGGCATTCAATGTTCTATTCTCTCAAGTCTCCAATCTAGCTCTCAATAACGTCAGCTGGCGATACTATCTCCTGTTCATCATCTTGAATGCTATCGACTTCGTCGTCATCGCTTTGTTCTTCCCCGAGACTAAAGGTACGTCGTCGCCCCTTTTGCGAGATTATATGGCTCTGCTGACACACCGCCCTCTTCTTAAGGAAAGTCGCTGGAGGAAATGGCAGAGATATTTGGCGACGAGGTGGTCCTCTCGGAAACACATGACAACCACTCTGACCACAAACTCGAGAGCGAGAAGGCCTAGGCTCAGCCGAAAGTAGGAAGCACATGCCGCATGCTGTAGCCATGATACAATGCAGCTTTTTAGCATCGCCTGCCGGCATGCCCTAAATATCTTTCGCGTAGTAGTCTTCTGGATCTCCAAGTGAGGGAGCTTTGTGGCGTTAGATCTAGATAAGTATATGATCGGCTGTCACGTGCTATATATACTGGCGCCCTAAAAAGTCTTCGGCTTTACATTCTGCTGAGAATTACAGCCGCCCTTATTTATTATTCCCCTCCACTCTGTACATAGCGTCCGATGCTCGCTTGTACATATGGCATAAAATGGAAGAAGGCACATTACACGCACATTCACTGCAATCGCTCCCTGTAGAAGTGAATCTCTCCATATCTGCTATACATCTCTAGTCTGACAAGACGTAACAGCTACTGTACGAGATCTTCATATATTCAAGCTGGCATCTACTTCCCCATACCTCCAAGCATTTCTATGAGGTTTTCAAGTGTTCCCCTTCATCTGTGACCGCCGAGTACCTCCTTGCGCGACATACCAACGCTGCAGGACTCATCAAGTTCGGCGGTGCTCTCATCACGAAGATTTTACGATACCCCATATGCACCCAAACAGTGCTAGAGGCCCTGCTCCGACTACCCGATTATGCTTCTACGAAAAGGGACACTTCCGGAACCATCAAGCTACCTAGACGACTCTTTCGCTCGCTATCGCCACGGTCCACACGACCATGGAGCGCACAGGACGAACCAATGCCCTTCCTTCGCTACATCTACGACCACCCGCAAATTCCCCCACCAAATGCGAATTGCTGGGATGGTTATGCACTCACGAGGGCCGTCGCCTCAGGCTTCATTCCTTTGACCCAATTCCTGCTCGAGCACGGGGCGTCGCCGGCGTGCAAAGGCGGCATGGCGGTCCTTGTGGCGGTCCGGCGTAAGAACCTTCCACTCGTTAAGATGCTCATACAACCTGATACGACTCCAGTGACACCTGTGGAGGACGAGGGGAAAGGTGTGGAGGACAAGGGGAAAGGTGCGGAGGACAAGGGGAAAGGTGTGGAGGACAAAGGGCAAGATGTGGAAGGGGACGCCACTGTAGGGAAAGGGAAGGGGAAAAGACGCCGGCAGGAGGAGGTCGCAGTGAGGAAGCGGAGCCACAAGAGACGAAAACTAGAGGACAGGGTTGCGGTCAGCCAGGAGATGTTGCGGACGGCGGTAGCCTGCGACGCGCGGGACATCGTCAAGTACTTCATAGAAGAGAAGTCCTGCACGCCCGACATACAGACCGTCCGGATGATGCGTCATTAGCCTAGTATCGCGCCGGTGTGTTGCAAGCATGCCCAGCACACCCGCAGGACACCGAACTGATGCGCAGACATATCCCCTTCGATGTTCCTTGCCATCAGCAGTTGCCGTGAGCATGGCCATGCAGCGGAGCGGAAGAGTCGCAGTGTTCTCGTCACGGATCGGACGCTGATTCCATCACATAATATGCTCGCATTGATTAAGATGCTGTACGGTCCAAGAAAGGCACAAGCAAAGCGGACGAACGATTCCCTGCGATGTGCAGGCCAACAGCACGGCCTAGTCTATAGCGGGATCGAGTTCAAGGAGAGCGAGTTCAGCAGACACCAATTTATCTCCGTCCTTAATGTCCCACTCCCTCAGCCCGACCCTCGCCCCGAGCTCGCGCCATTGTCGCATCTGCTCGTCGCGCCTCGTCTTCGTCATCTCGATCAAGTCCGGCCAGTACGTCTTGTGCTCGTAGGTAAACTCGATGATTCCGCCGAACTCTTTCCACACGCTATCGGCCGCGAAAAGTCTTTCTGGGACAGCCTTGGGGTTGAAGCGTATCTTCTCGCGAGTGACAGGGTCGAGGAATGGGTTAATGAGCTTGTAAAAGGTGTTGATCATCCATGGCATATTGATGATCAGGGCACGGCCGAGGCGTTCAGGGTAGTGTGACTGGAGGATGTTGAGGACCTGGTGAGGCTTAAGCACGTTTTATCTACACAGTGGATATACGTAGACGGACCGTCCGAGACTGTGAGAAAGACGGACTCTTGCCCTTCTGGCCGTAGTCGATCATGAGTGCCAGTGACCTGTACCGTTGTAAGCTGCAGGAAAATGTAACATGACTCGATAACACACACTCCACTCCGGGGCCCATGAGATTTATACACAGCTCCAACGCGAACATTGTGAATTCGACCTGCCGAATGGTCTCTTCCGTGTTCTGACGATTCGGGCACAGATAGAGAGCTGGGCGACCGTTGACATCATACCCGTATATGATCTCCTTGCCGGTGACTGCCTGCAATATCGGTATCTCAGACGTGTCGATCAGGGGTGGGAGAGAGGGAGCGTACCTCCGGCTCTACGTGCTCTGGCGTGAAGCGTTCGTCGTATAGGCCGAACTCGCGTCGCCATTGCAGTGTTTCTTCCAGCCTCTTGATAGCTTGCTTTGCACTCTCCCACCTTGTGGCGCGGCAATACCTGCGGAAGTGAAGACAGTCCCGTAGTGTTTAATACAAAACCACGAGTATATTTCAGACGCTAGCACACCTGAGCATGCACTCGTAGGTCTAGCGTCTTCTATGAGTTCCTTGTCTTTGCGTCAAACTATTGGATACGTACCAGCCAGAACTTCTCCTCCTCTATCAGCTTCTTATCTCCTTCCTTGACAGGCAGCTCGTACTCATCCTTTGAGAAGTATGCGAGGACCTCGTCCGCGATCTTCTGTTGGGCGGGTGTCAGATTGTTGCTCTGCGGCTTGTTCGCGCTCGCAAGGTTTGGGACAGGTGTCGCCTGCATTGCTGGTACAAGATCCGACATCGTTTGCGAAGCCCGACGCGTTCAGAGGGTGTCGGGATGAGGAGAAGTGGAGGAAGCAGGATGGGAGACGCACGAGGTTTCGGACGTAGTTTCACCTCTCAAGCTGTGCGACATCGCAACACGGACGTTGTCTCTGATCCGCCAGAAATAATTCGTCAAGTCGTACCATAATGGCACGGCAGACAACAGTGGGCGGCGGATGTACATGCAAGGGGAGAGGTGCGAGTAAGGACATATGGAAGCGTTCGGGGGATCGAGATCGCGCATATTTTTTGCTTCCAGTCGACTTAGATGAGAGGTTCGCGCACTTCAATCAGCAATGATTCCGGTTGGCCTATTATATCATTGTACTATCTACAAAGCGCTAGCGTCTAATCCTCAGCTTCACCAGCAACGATGACGTCGTCTTGAAAGGAGTCAGCTAGGTCCTGCGGTCAAAGGTTTCGATTTGAAAACCCACCAATTTTCAAGATAGCCCTGACGAGCTGTGTAGCAAGGAGGAGCTGTTGTCTCTTCGAGATCAATGGGTCGAAGACAAATTGCTCCTTCATGTCTGCATCCACGGTTAGCCCACATACTCGTAAGCAAGTGTCACAGCTAACACTCACCATTATTGCCCTTGCCGAGGCAGTCAATACCCAGCGACGACTTGCCCTCCTGAACTTGTCTGCTCTTGACCTCGGCCAACGTCTCGATGGGTGACAAGCCGCTGTTCTCCGCAAGAGCAAGAGGGACAGCGTCGAGAGCAGAAGCGAATGCGCGCATGGCGTACTGCTCAACGCTCGGGATCTCGTCGGCAGCCTTCGCGACGGCGAGCGAGCAGCTGATATCCGCAGATCCACCACCGTAGACGACGCGATTGTCAACGATCAGATTCCGGACAGCACACAGGGAATCGTGGAGAGCACGCTTGGCTTCGTCGACGATCTATGAACATGTTAGGCCTGCAGGAAGCTACGGTGATGCAACGGGTACGGACCATCTTGTTGCTCCCGCGAACGAAGATCGTCACTGTCCGAGCATTGGCACACTCCTCGATGACCAGCATCTTGTCGCGCGTAGTACCGAAGGTGACTTCGCGAACAACACCTGCATGACCAAGCTTCTCTGATGACAAGTCTTCGAAGCGAGGGACAATCCGACCATTGGTGGCAATCGCAATAAGCTAGGGTGAAGTATAAAAAACTATGAACGCAACCTTCAATCATTCCCGTACCTCGATCTCAGGACCACCAACCCACCGCACAGCGGGCAGATCGTTTTGCATGAGCAAATGGTTTGCCTCATCGTCGAAGCCCCACTGGCAGATAACAAGGTTTGCACCGGTGTCCTTGACACGCTTGATCATATCCTCGAACTTGTCCTTCTCGTACTCGCGTAGCTTGTTGTACTCTTCTACGCTGGTGATGTCAAGCTTGTGCTTTGTCTTCGGCCGTGGCGGCTCGAATGGACAAGTGAGAATGGCAAGTTTCGCGTCCCTGACGCTGTGAGGCATTTGTGGGTGTGACATGTCCTTGTCAACGAGTACACCCTTGATGAGAGTCGTGTCAGCGAGCGAGCCGCCAACCTTGCCCTCAACCTTGATAAGATCGAACGGCACATCCTTCCGCTCGAGATCGGCGACGGAGAGAACAGCATCAACGGCGATCTGTGCGAACTGCTGGTGTTCTTTTGAGACACTGCGTAACCGATCTGTCAAAACACATATCTTGATAGGAGCAGTGGAAACACACATTTTACTGCCAAGGGAGGTCATAGTAGTCTTCAGGAGATTGCTGGTGTTTCCTGGGCCGAACTCGACGACGTCAGAAATTTTGTCCAAGTGTTCGACCGCAACAACACAAGCACGGTCGAAGCCGTCTGCTATCCGAATAGGATGGATGCCACGGTCGAGCAGGGCCTCGCTTTGTTCCAAGAGTGCACCGGCAAGAACTTCGCGTCACAGCTGTCAGCGTGCACTCGTCTAGGACAATGTATGTGGTACTGACCAACGACACCAGTAGTACCGTCACCGATCTCATCGTCCTGACTCTTCGACAACTGTACCAGAAGCTTCGCAATTTGGTGCTCAACCTCCATCTGACCCAAGATAGTCGCTCCATCATTGGTAACTGTAATCTCGCCGTCAGGCGAAATAAGGATCTTGTCAAGACCTGAAGAGAGCATTAATGAGCACAAGACTGAGATTTGCGGCTCAAATTCACCTCTTGGGCCAAGCGATGTCCGTATTATGTTTGAGACTGTCCTTGCTGCTAAGATATGAGACTATTAAACAATGAAGAGGGATTTAGACACGTCCATGAGCGAGCTGAGGCGATGTATACCCTGATGGCCTCGATGCCGTGTCTTCGCGTCGTTTTGGCTTGCTCACGTAGGATAATGAATGGACGACCATACTGCGATGCGAGATAATTAGATCTCACAGTCTCGCAGTCAGTCTGCACGAACCTCGTCCGTTGCGTAAAGAGCCTGCGGTTCAGCCATTGCAGTAGACTGTGCGCAAGCTAGTAAATGTCCTCGCACAAGCGCCCATAAGCCCTAAACTTCAGTCACGCGTCACAGGACACGCCGTCACGCGCGCCTGAATATTCAAGCTCTCGGAACGAAGGTCCATGACACAAAACGACCAACAAACAATAATTTAGAATTATACGTATGCGTAAAGAAACGTTGTCTACAGAGTACTGTCTCACAGTCGCCGCCGGTGGCATTGTACAAATCCTCTGTGAGGCTAGGACCCTCGCGGTCGGAGTGCATCAAGCGGAGGATGGGAGGTATCTTCCTCTTCTTTGACTTCATCTTCTGCATGATACATAGTGCGCGTATGCGTAAGTTGTATGTACGATACTATATGACACCGACGCCGCAACAAGAGTCCGAGAGGTGTAAGAGAATGGCGATCACTACGAAAGGAGATGTTGTCAGATATTTGAGATCAAGGCGTGCGGGAAACGCGAGGTAATGACGTCGCCCGAAACAGTGACTCACAAGGAAATAATCCGGTACACGTCGAGAAACAAGAGGCTCGCCGGCTCGCGGCGCAGGGTCGAATTGAAGGCTGAGTACGTGGGGTAAAGGAGTCAGCATGGCCGCAGAAATAACGTGGAGGTGAACGCACAAGCTGTAAGATAATTTTTCATCAATTTCCATGATTGCTGCCTGGTTGCCGCAGCGGTAGCAGTAGTTTGGTGCGGAGAAAATAGTAACAACATTTCGGTCTTGGCCCCAGTTGTACCCTGAAGATATTCATGATTTTCTTGGCCCGCGCAAGACACGCCTTAGACGCACCCTCCATGACAAGTTGATGCGCACGTGCAACGAGTGTCAGCCCGTTGTTGTGATTGAACGCCTCGCTAATGTCTTGCCCGAAAGTGTAACCAGCACCTCGCGGTGATATACCCCAGCCGCAGCGGTCATCGGGATCTGACCATAGCAGATCACACATCGGGCCTTCGTGGGGGACCTCCTGTACACGGTCAATGGATCGTACGTGGTCTAGGGTATCAATGGATGGTGAGAGTCCTCCGTGGAGACAGAAGATCTGTTGGTAAAGGGGTTCGTCCACTGTAGTCAGGAACGACCTCTGGGAAACATGTGGTTCAACACTGACTTGATTCTCGATTAGGGCTGTAAGAGGAAGGTAGTCGAACAGATCAGTAAAGTATCTCCACACGTTCGCATTGCCGTATTTCCGCAAGCACTCGTCGTAAAAACCGTACACTTGCGTGATTTGGCGCGATTCATGGTTGCCTCGCAGGATGGTGACACGGTCCCGGTAGCGAAGCTTGAGAGCGACAAGCAGGGTGACCGTCTCTACGGAGAAATATCCTCTATCGACATAATCACCCATGAAGAGGTAGTTTGTGTCGGGTGAGTTGCCTCCAATGCGAAAAAGTTCGGAAAGATCATGCTGGAGATCGTATGAACAGCGAAGGAGGGCAGGGCATGGATTAGCGAGGTGATCCAGACTGAAAGAAGCGACAGCGCACAAATTGACCATGTATATCCCCACAAACAGTCACAGGACACCTCACAGGCTGCACATTCGACTCCTCCATCAAGATTTCCCGCGTCTACAAAAACAGTAACAGTTCAGTGAGCACATCTCGCCGTATGCCTGACGATGCGACCCGGGGAACGCTGCAGGGTGGCGTTTGGTCTTATCAAAGAGGGAATCGGGCATGCACCTTGTCGCAGAGTTTCTTGACGTCAGCCTCGGAGAGCTGTTTGCACTGACTTAGCTGTGCGATCCAGCCGTCTATTTCGTGTTCCATATTGTTTTGCTAGTCAAGAGGGAAAGCTTTGGTAATTTGTAGAGTAACGTCGAATGATGCGCGTGGTTGGCTTAGACTGGGCGGATAGCGTGACCCAGACCCAAGCCAGTGTCACATTACGTCACGATAACGGTCACAAATGTCACGACACTTCGTTACGCATCGCTCTGCGCCTGATCGGGCCCGCACAACAGTCGGTGCCCAGCTTCAGACTTAGACCGCGACGACTTCCACCTCTGTAAGCCAGTATATAACTCCGACCTCTAAATTTTTTGCTCACACTCAAAACTTTACCCCAGACACATACCACATACTTGTAGAGAATGCCGAAGGCAGGTCACTGCAATCGATAACCTCTTTTATTTGATACTGATCGAGTGAAACAGAACAAAGGCAAGGTTAGACACACGACCGTCTTTTAGCCCCTGCTTGTAGGTTACTCATCCTTTTTCACAGGGTGGTAAGAACAGGAGACGTGGAAAGAACGAAAACGATGACAACAAGCGCGAGCTCGTCTTCCGTGAGGATGGCCAGGAATACGCCCAGGTCACGAAGATGCTTGGAAACGGCCGGCTTGAGGCTCAGTGCTTCGACGGCGAGAAGCGGTTAGCCCATATTCGTGGAAAGATGAGGAAGAAGGTGCGCACGCCTGATACTAGTTTGCGATAGTCAGGACTGACTCCCCGTCTTCCTTTAGGTCTGGATCAACCAAGGAGACATCATTCTCATCTCTCTCCGTGACTTCCAAGACGACAAAGCGGACGTCATCGTCAAGTATACGGCGGATGAGGCCCGTAGTTGTATGTCCCCCGCTTTTAGCTGCGCAGGGCTGTGCGTTTACTGATCTTGTCCCCCGCAGTGAAAGCGTACGGCGAACTGCCAGAAAATGCGAAGATCAATGAGACTGAGACCTTCGGCGAGGAAGAGGGCGAGTGCACATTCGAGTTCGGCGACGACGAGGAAGTCGACATCGACGACATTTGATTTTCCTGCACGGAATCTGTTCTGTATCTTTAAACACACGATCGGTACGCCCCGGCCCTTCATGTAGAAACAGATATCTCGTCTCATTCTTTTGTAGTAGATGTTGTATACATCGCTTTCCATCCTTCCTCATGCTCTCTACTCTTGACTTTCTTGTGCATTCTTCTCATGACCCTCACGCATCGTTACTCTCGCTGTATGTCAGGCTTTGAAGGACCCTAATTCGACGTCCGACTCATTGCAGATATCGCGCCCAGCTGCTTCGACGGATCTACGAACGATATTGACTCACGACGTCATCTGCTGAGGGGCATCATTTCCGTCCTACTCTACTGAATGCGTGAGATGAATAACTCAGTCATAACATAATCCAGAGGACGGCAGTTAAAGAAAAACAGATCTGCTGATACACATTACAGTATGCAACGAAAGCATCATGAGAGCGATGTAAAGTACATGAAGCAATTTAAAATCCAAGAAATAGTAGCCGGGCATGAGAGACCGGGGGTTGAAATATTAGACGGACGTGAAAGTCAGGCAGGTATTGCTGCCTGCTGGTGTGATACAAACAAGTGGATGTTGAAGAAGATTGATGGATCACAGCTGGAGGAGCTTAGTGACAGAGTCCAGCATGACTTTCGGCTTTACGAGCAGATTCCGGTCGAGGATCTTGGCAGAAGCATCGGTACTAGAGCTGATGCTGTTGACGCGAGAGATGGCGTTCGCGCCGTTCGAAGGGGTAGTTGCCATCTCTGGTGTCGGAGAAGTCGGCGCGGACTCCTCTGCGCCCTCGATCTTCCGGACGCAGGCGAGTCCGATCTCGACGGTGCACAGGACACGGTCCTCTTCCTCCTGGGGCAGCGAGCCCGCGAACGCGTCCTCCATGAGGGCCTCGTCGAAGGGCGTCCCGCCGCCGACGTCGACGAACAGGGAGCTGCTCGAGGAGCAGGACCACTACCAAGACCCGACCTTTGTGCAGTTTGCGATCCAGGCGTGGGAGGTGGCCTGTGTGGGCAGACTCATGGTGCCATTCTGCTGCGGTGCGCCGGGCGAAGTCCAGCGGCTGCTTTCTGCGGTGTTCCAGCGAGTCCAAGAGATCGGTAAGCAACTCCCGACGATCCATGTATAGCAGCTTGCGAATTTGAACTGTATGAACTTTATGCAGAGCCGCAAGCCACAGCGTCGCGCTGGCGAGCCCTCACCCACGCCAACCTGAGGGCCATACTGCTCATCTTCCAAAACTCAGGCAACGGCCCTCCACCGACGCCCGTCACGCCGACGACGCCGGGCAGCTCCACCGCGGCGTTCCTGAACGCCTACGTAGAGGACAATCTGCGGGGAATCCTCGCGATCCTCGTCCTCGCCGGCTGCTCAGACTACAACGGCCTGCACCGGGAACCGCTCCGCAAGCGGTTCGGTGCGTCCCTCGCGCGGATCAGCGACCGCGCGTACCGGCTCGCGACGGCCATGCGCGAGGGGATCATGAGCGCCGCGTTCGAGGTCGTCATCGTGCCGCCGGCCATGGCGAGTGCGTCCGGCGCTGCACCGAAGAAGGGAGCCGCCGTCCGCACCCCCACAGCGGGATACAGCGTTTCCCGGTCGGACGGACGGGCATAGTTGACCCGTCTGTCGAACTTGCCCGTGAACTCGTCGGCGACGGACGCGGCGAGCTGCAGGATCTCGCTGTTCAGATCGCGGATCGCCTGGATGAGCTGCGCTCCTGACATGTCGTCTGTCTTTGTGAGGTACGTCCGTAGCGACGAGACCTCCTCGTTGCGCTCGCGCAGCGCCTGCTGGACAGACGCATGCGACGCCGCGAGCGCACCGTACGCTGTCCGGAGGGCAGCGAGGTCGGCGGATTGGGGCATCTTCGGCGGCGGGGGCAGCCCGATGTCCAGCGGGAGGGCCGGTACAGAGACGTCATGGGCGTAAGCAACAGACTGTCTAGTGAGCTGCAGGTCCCGCTCGAGCTGCTGCACCCTCGCCCTCAGTTCCTCATTCTCCCTGCGCAGCGCTGCGACGAGCTCGCTTTCGCGCTGCTCCCTGTCCACGTGCGGCTCTCTGCCCCCATCCTTCCTGCGTTCGCGTTGCCTGTGCCACCCCGCTGGGTCGGAGGTCTGTAGCCGCTGAGGCTGCGCCAGCGATCTGCTCGGGGTCGACAGTGTGCGGGCGTGCAGTGCGTAACTCCTGCCGGCAAAAGCTTCCGGGTCGTCCAGTCTGACGTCGTCTGTGAGGCGTATGGCGGGAAAGAACCAGTCGAGGAGTGTCCAGAACGAGTTCATGAGCGACGTGCGCGAATGTTCGTTCGGAACTATATGTGCGCCAGCCACAGCATCCGCTGAAATGAGGGGTCCGTTACGGTTTCCGAGACGATGATTATAAGGATGATGTCAACAATCGCAGCGAATCAGCAGTTGCTAGACAGGGAGATAAAGGCTGATATAGGCGAGAATGGGGCAGCGGGTAGATGAAAGAGCAGTACGAAGCCTCGTGGCAACGGTGCGTCGCGGAGGAAGGGTTGAAGAAGGCTGGGCGGAACGCCAGGATCACCGTCGAATGCTCTGGCACTATTCAGCTACCACTATAGCCCATAGCCGTCAGGTTGGCATAATTCGTTGATGCCCTAGTTTCTCTACACGTAGCTGATATCGATAACACTTATCAAGCTGCCTCGGCGTACGTGCTTCCTTTACACCCTCTGAGAAAGCCAGTTATAGCATTACATAGCCCCAAGATGTCCCAAGTAGAATACATAACACATGCATCATGCCGGAGAAGACCAAATTTTTTGCTGATAGTCCAATAAGATTGGAACAAAATCCCAAAGACCAAAATCAGGCCAATAGCGCGATGAAAATTGTATCTGAGCAGTTTCGCATGTCTGAGGCGCAAAGTCAGCAAATCTTGAAGAGGAAGAATCGGCAGGTGATTTACCTGCCACGTCATATAGTCGCTGAGCCGTTTAACACCGCTCGTACGAACGAGAATATCAATCGGTGGGCTGCCCACGACAGACGTCGAGATACAAGCGTCGACATCGTCCTCTGTTATGACACTTATTCGAGAAATATTAGCAATGATGACACTAATAGTATAGAGACAACTTACGAGTCGTGGTTCTCAATCGCTTTTTCAGCTGAAGTCTGTACCGCGCTCACGATGTCATCGTGACTGGCGAAGGGCATGCAAATGTTCAACACGGCTCTAGCAAAACATGTAGGCGGTCAGCGCAGGCGAGACGGGAAAAAATATGAGTTTCATACTTGTTGTTCTTGCGCGTCATGCTCTCTGCCTTCTCAACTGCGGCAAGCACGTTTGGAGGAAGCATATCTCTCCGTCCCAGCGCGTTCAAACGGATACCGTACCGGTCGAGTAGTGCACTGCGTCGTAATGAGTACCTAATACACGATATAGATGAAATGGACGTACTCATGCTTGGATATCTCGATGAGCTTGTTTTCGGCCAGCGACATGAGAGCTTCCACTTCGGCCGGAGAACGGTTGAAGTTTTCGATAGCGAAAGCGTAGACTGAGACGCATCGTACACCCAGGCGCATGCATGTCTTGAGTACCTGAGAGAACACAAGTTAGTGACATAGCGATGGGGAACAGACACGACGGACCTGACTCAACGTCTCGAACCCTTGGGCATGTCCCTCCGCGACTACTCTGTGCTGCCTCCGCGCATATCGTCGATTCCCATCCATGATGAACGCGACATGCCTGGGTATGGGGCCTGCGCTGAGTATTGCGAGTAGGGCATCCTGAACTTTCTGAGAGACACGGGTATGAATCCAGTCAAGGCTGTTCGAGATAAGGGCGGGCAACATTTGGTTCAGCGGGTTAGGGTTACACGACGCCGGCTCGTGACTGGCAGATCGAGATAAGATCAGATGACATGAGGACGGTTCGTAAGCGGCCCGCGTAAGCGTTTGTTAGTCAAAACCTCTCTGGCGCTGCGGTAAGGGTTCGCCATAGCTAAGATCACAATGCAGAGGACATGTCATACAACGGACAGATATCAGGTGGCTGCTCCGCTTCAAGTTGCGAGAAAAAATGATTTCTAATCCAAGGAAAGATGTTATTTCGCAGGAAATTCGCAATTCGCGGCCATCATAGCCTAGGCATGCCGGAATCCTCGAGCTCAGTGCAGATATCGCTCTCCAGCTGCCTCAGAACATCCTAGAACAGCCTTTCGGCGTCGCATTGCGGTATGTTCTCACCTTATTGCCCGGTCCACGACGGCGTGGCGACGGTGTATGTGCATTGCACGACAACCTTCGGATCCGCCTGCGCATCTGGTGCCGTATGCACACGTCAACAATGCGGTCGCACGGCTAGCGACATTCGTCGATCGACGCTTCCAGAATCAGCTGGCCTAGTGCGCTTCGCCCATTATGGGCCTGGGTGCGAAATTTGTCTCCTGCAAGTGGGCAGCCCCTCACTACGACCTGTAAGCCAAGGATGTAAGCGGACCCGCCGGGGACTTGTACCCTTGCCTCCGGAAGCTGATCGCAATGTTGATATCATGCCGTGGACCACGCAAGTGATGAAGGTTGCTGCGAGCCCGGCTCCTTCTCACGTCCTCCACAGACACGGCTATCACCTGGGAAGGGAGAACTCTGTGCTGCCTGGTGGCGCTGCCGACTCAGCGCCGTGAAGTACAGTCACTATCGCTGCCGGGACATATAAATTCTGCCTTCGCGGTTACGCTCTTTCCTCGGTCTTCCCTCTCTTGATCGCCTCCCACTGACTGTCGCGTCGACCATGGGCTGGAAGTCAGGTCACAAAGACGACAAGGAGAAGCGCGAGTCTCAGCTCGGCACCCCTGTGCCCTCCGACTCAGCGTCCTACGATGAGAAGCACGATGCAAGGGACAAGCCCGACCATAAGGTGGCTGGGACAATTCCTGAAGGGACCAAGGCTGTTGTTCAGCCTGTCTCGTTCAGAAGCCTGTTCCGGTATGTCTGGGCAATCAGGATCTCTGTTCGTCATGCTGACCCCTGGCATGCAGCTTTGCCACGCCGTTCGAGGTCTTCATCAATTGGGCCGGCTTAGTCGCTGCGACAGCCTCGGGCGCTGCTATGGTACGCCATTCGCCATTCTCATCTCTACGCCATCACTGATCAGTTGACGACAGCCGCTGATGACTCTGCTCTTTGGACGGCTCATCCAGTCATTTGTCAGCTTTGGCTCAGCGCTACAAGACACTAATCCTGCTGATCCGGCAGCAGAGGCAGCTTTGCAGGCAGCGAAGAATCAGTTCAAGCACGAAGCCGCACAGAACGCTTCATACCTGGTTTACATTGGTAATGTGTCGTGCGCTATCCTCGTGGCCCGCTACTCACGCACTCCCATAGGTATCGGGTCATTGACATGTACTTTCATCTATATGTACATCTGGGTGTACACAGGCGAGATCGGCACCAAGCGACTCCGCGAAAAGTACCTTCAAGCCGTTCTCCGACAGGATATCGCATATTTTGATAACGTCGGTGCCGGAGAGGTCGCGACTCGTATTCAGACGGACACGCGTGAGTTTGCATTTTTTTCCTCACGAAAATGACTCACTCCTACTATTCGTGCAGACCTGGTACAGCTCGGTACGTCAGAGAAGGTGCCTATGGTAGTGAGCTACATCGCAGCATTCTTCACCGGCATGATCCTGGCCTACGTGCGCTCTTGGCGCTTGGCTCTCGCGCTGACATCAATGATCCCCTGCATCGGTCTCACGGGCGCTTTCATGAACAAGTTCGTGGCGCGCTACAAACAGTAGGCCTCCCGCGAACCACAGCGCACAGCCACAGCCCGTTCGCTGACTCTGGAAACTAGGTCGTCCCTACAGTCGATTGCCTCTGCAGGCACCCTCGCTGAGGAAGTCATCTCGACCATCCGCACTGCGCAGGCGTTCGGCACCCAGGAGATACTCGCTCGGGAGTACAATGCTCCGGTCGACGACGCTCGCATCGCCAGCATCAAGGGCGCCGTCTGGCGTGGCGGCAGTCTTGGTATCTTCTTCTTTGTCATCTACAGTGGATATGCGCTGTGTGAGCCTTCGTCCGTATGTCAACTCGTTCTAGAAACTGAATATCTTCAGCGTTCGACTTCGGCACAACTCTAATTAATCAAGGACGGTGTAAGTCTAATCGGCAACCGTCAGGATTATTTGTAGGGCTGATGACATTTTTCAGCTAACGCCGGCGACGTCGTGAATGTATTTTATGCAATTCTGATTGGTTCATTCTCCCTCGCGCTGCTTGCTCCCGAAATGCAAGGTTCGTAGCTCAGTCGCATATGCCTTCGTAGTAGCTGATCCCGCATTCTATAGCCATCACACATGCGCGAGGAGCTGCGGCAAAACTCTATGAGACCATCGACCGTGTCCCAATCATCGACTCTTCGTCTCCGGAAGGCTCCAAGCCTGACGAATGCATCGGCGAGATCACGCTTGAGAATGTCAAATTTAACTATCCCTCGCGCCCGAACGTACCTATCCTCAAGGGCCTCTCGATCGCGTTCCAAGCGGGCAAGACCGCCGCACTCGTCGGCGCGTCCGGCTCCGGTAAATCCACGATCATCTCGCTCGTCGAACGCTTCTACGACCCGCTCGATGGCGTTGTTCGGCTTGACGGTCGCGACCTGCGGGACCTCAACGTGCGGTGGCTGCGTTCGCAGATCGGGCTCGTCTCGCAGGAGCCGACGCTCTTTGCGACGACGATCCGCGGCAACGTCGAGCACGGCCTCGTCGGTACGCAATTCGAGCACGCGTCGCCCGACGAGAAGTTCGCGCTCGTCCGCGCGGCGTGTGTCAAGGCGAACGCGGACGGATTTGTGTCGAAGCTCCCGCTCGGGTACGACACCATGGTCGGCGAGCGCGGGTTCCTGCTCTCCGGCGGACAGAAGCAGCGCATCGCCATCGCGCGCGCTATCGTCTCTGACCCGCGTATCCTCCTCCTGGACGAGGCGACGAGTGCGCTCGACACGCAGAGCGAGGGTGTTGTGCAGGATGCACTGGACAAGGCCGCTGCGGGTACGTGATTTCCCGTATTCTCCCCTAACTCGATACTGACGCTGTCCCAGGACGCACGACCATCACCATCGCTCACCGTCTCTCGACGATCAAGGACGCCCAGTGCATCTACGTCATGGGAGACGGCCGCGTGCTCGAATCAGGCACACACAGTGAGCTCCTCTCCAACGAGCAGGGCGCGTACTTCCGCCTCGTCGAGGCGCAGAAGCTGCGTGAGTCGAACAGCATTGAGGACCCATTAGACGCCGAGGTGGGCGAAGGCGCGACGGACGGGACGCTGCCCGCCAAGGAGGACGGCGAGGACTACGCGGAGCTTGCGAAGGAAGAGGTACCCCTCGGCCGCATGAAGAGCAATCGGAGTCTCGCAAGCGAGATCCTCGCGCAGAAGCAGTCGGAGGAGAAGGAGAAGGAGAAGGACTATTCGATGATCTATCTCTTCAGGCGCATGGGCGCTATCAACAGAGACCAGTGGAAGAGATATACTATTGCTACAATTGCAGCCATCAGTGAGATCCCGCCTTCGTATGCATTGTTGCCTTGCTTATGCGCTCTCTAGTCAACGGTGCTGTCTACCCAAGCTTCGGTATTGTCTTTGGCGAGTGTTATGTTCACTTACTCTACAGAAAGTAGCTGACTTCGGTGTCGTACAGGTCGTGCCGTGAACGCATTCTCCGAGTCGGACCCACACCAGCGCCGGCACGATGGCGACCGAAATGCTCTATGGTAAGCAATCTCTTCTGATCCTAGCCATGATTCTCGCTCAAGCCGTCGCTAGGCTGTTCGTCATTGCCATCATCGCGTCTGTCGCTGGCGGATTGCAAAACACGTTCTTTGGAATGACGGCTTCCGAGCTCACGGCTAAGATCCAGAAGCTGGGCTTCCGTGCCATTTTGAGGCAAGATAGTGCGTACTCTCTTATTTGTTTCGGTGTTTCATGCTAATGTGAACATTCAGTCGAATACTTCGATGAGGATGAGCATAGCGTAGGCTTCTCTATGTGTTTGTCTTGGCCCCTTCTGATGGCACTTTGCAGACTGGTTCTCTCACCGCTGGACTCAGCGACAAGCCTGAGAAGATCGAAGGCTTGGCAGGTGTCACACTTGGGGCGTACGTAGTTATATGTTCCGGAGTCTTGAATTCTGATACTGACTCTCTTTCGACTAGAATTGTGCAAAGTATCTCCACCCTGGCATGCGGCTTCACTATCGGCATAGCCTTCACCTGGAAGCTTGGCCTCGTCGGTGTTGCATGCGCGCCGCTAATCGTCTCCAGTGGATACATCCGACTAGTAAGGGCCCTTTCTCCCGTCCGAACAATACAAGACTCACTCCGTCCCTTCACAGCGTGTTGTCATCTTGAAAGACAAGCAGAACAAGAAAGCGCACGAAGGCTCTGCACAGCTTGCTTGCGAGGCTGCAGGTGCCATTCGGACCGTCGCTTCGCTCACTCGCGAGGAAGATTGCTGCAACATCTACTCTCTCAGTCTCGATGAGCCCCTCGAGAACTCCAAGAAGGCGGCAGTCTGGAGCAACCTGCTCTGGGCGATGTCGCAGGCGATGATCTTCTTTGTCATGGCCCTTGTGTTCTGGTACGGCTCGCGGCTCGTTGCGGACCAGGAATTCACGCCGTTCCACTTCTTTGTCACGCTCATGGTTAGTTGTGCCTTCTTATATCATGGTATCCTCAGTGCTGATTAATTACACGTCGGACAGAGCACCGTCTTCGGCTCCATGCAAGCCGGCAACGTCTTCCAGTTCGTGCCCGACATGTCGTCCGCGAACGACGCCGCTGCAGACATCGTCACCCTCCTCGACTCGATGCCCACGATCGACGCCGAGTCTAAAGAGGGCAAGGTCCCGCAGAACGTGCAGGGCAGGATCCATTTCGAGAACGTGCACTTCCGCTACCCCACGCGTCCTGGCGTCCGAGTCCTCCGCGACCTCAATATCACGGTTGAGCCTGGCACCTACGTCGCCTTGGTCGGTGCGAGTGGGTGTGGTAAGAGTACAACGTGAGAACTTTCTTCACCTCGTGGTCGGCGCTTCTATACTGACGCTGGCTGCAGGATCCAACTTATCGAGCGATTCTATGATCCCCTTGCTGGCACTGTCTACGTACGTTCGCTCCCTACTGAGATTATGCTTTATTCCAACTATTTTTTGCAGCTCGACGGGCAACCAATCTCTGAGCTTAATGTTACTGAGTACCGCAAGCACATCGCTCTTGTGTCTCAGGAGCCTGTACGTGATATTTGATTTTGTATTCGCTTGCACCCATCTAATTTCGACATTCGTAGACTTTGTATTCTGGCACAATCCGCTTCAACATCCTTCTCGGAGCAACCAAGCCTATATCAGAAGTAACCCAGGAGGAGATCGAGGAGGCCTGTCGCAGCGCCAATATCCTGGAGTTCATCAAATCTCTGCCAGAGTAAGCCTCCACGTTTCCCAGATGTTTTTGCAGATGCTAACGAATGCCATAGCGGTTTTGACACTCAGGTCGGTGGCAAGGGATCTCAGCTATCTGGTGGCCAAAAGCGTACGTTTACCATTCACGACTTCGCGGACAAGTAGACTTACAGCCGGCGCTTTTAGAACGTATCGCCATCGCCCGAGCACTTCTCAGGAACCCGAGAGTTCTCCTCTTGGATGAGGTGTGTTGCCCTCTATACTCAGCGCCGCTCATGACTAACATGACTCCAGGCGACTTCTGCTCTCGACTCCAACTCTGAGCGAGTGGTACAAGAAGCCCTTGACCGCGCAGCCAGGGGTAGGACAACCATTGCCATCGCGCATCGTCTGTCCACCATTCAAAACGCTGACTGCATGTAAGCATTTCATTGCTCATACTTGCGCTTGTCGTGCGGAAGACTAAATTCTCTTGCAGATACTTCATTAAGGACGGTGCAGTCAGCGAGGCGGGCACGCACGACGAGTTGCTCGACCGTCGCGGTGGATATTACGAATACGTGCAGCTCCAGGCGCTGAGCAGAAAGTAACGACTCGCATGCTATGACTCTTTTACGCCTGATACACCTTGACTATCACGCTCCACTCACATCGGTAACATCTTGCATAGCTTAATTTCTATCCCATAACATAACAATAAGTATCCAGTAGACGACGCTCCGGTTTGTAGTCATGTAGGTAGGTACTAGATATACTTATATCGAAGTTCATCTCATCTCAGATTTTAGTCAGACTTCATGCAGCCTTACGATGTAGATTTACGGAGATATCGATATCGAATGTTGAACGTCGAACGTCGAGAATTTGAATAATAGACAGGCACGAACGTATTGGCATTTCTATGATTCTCTGACGCGTGACTCAGGCCCAGACTGCTGACGCCTGCTAAGTGCAATGATTGCAGCCGCTGATTTGCTGAGAACAGCGAATGTCCTTCAAGGTCGATTGGCCGATGAGTAAACTGGTCCGCATTTCCAGGGAGCAAGATGCATTTGCGGGCGGATACCGTACCCGTTGCACACTGCTCAGGCTTTCAACCATTGCCACCCCTTCTCCTTATCGATATTATCGCGGGTGGGCAGATTAAATCCATCACAACCATCGATAGCGTCCCGAAAATCAGCAGTGGCAACAAGCTAAGGCACGCTGAGGACCACTTCTTCGCCGTACAGTTCGTCCTTACTGTTTTAGTCGCCTTCATGCGGGGAAACGTCCACCTGATCATGACGCACACTGGCAGACGCGCAATGAGGCATTTTTCGAACCGTCGCTTATCGAAAGATCAACAGACGGTGAAGCCGGGGCACCTAAGAGGTTTATCGTGACGCTCGCACGGCAGGCCTTCAACATCACAATCTTTACTCAGCCGGACAACAGACCTGGGAAAACAAGTGGCCAAAAGAGCGTACGGGAGTGTCTAGGAACAGAGCCGACGCTGACGTGGCATCGACCTGGAAGATTGGTGCACTGCGGGGCTGAAGGGACCAGGAGCAAACTCACATATGCTACTCCGTAAGGAGCCGCCTAGCTCCGCGCCTGATAGGCAAGGTCGCTGAGGAGGCTCTCCGCGGCACATCTCTCCACGGCACCCCAAAAGAAATGGCATGAGTCAATTAGAGCGGCGCCAGGCCCCACGGCATGTGCTGATACTGGCCTGCCAATATCCAACTCTATGTTGCAGGGTCACCTCCCGAAGCAAGGAACGTGACATCGGAATGTGATAAGGCCTGTCGGGTGGCTGCAGCACTAATGCCTCACAAGTCTAGGCTGTTTATGGGGCACAGCCTTACGTGCACATCGTGCGAACAGGGGCTATAGACGCACGCTACAAGCACATAAATATGGTCAACGAAGTGCGAATTGGAGCATCCCAAGACACCTCTCTACATTCCCCAGAACATCCAAACAACAATGTACTCTGTAAGCCCACTCTACTCTAGAGCCCTTAGAACAGCACTCACCATTGGAACGACTAGGCCGTCGCTGTCCCCGTCAACTACGCCAACTGCGGCTCTGCCACCTGCAGTGCCAACACCTCCTGCGCCTGCGCCAACGCGTACGCCGTCTGCTTGCTCATATTATCATGCTGTGATACTCACTCACACTCCGTAGCTGCGCCTGCAAGCCCAACGAGTGCAAGTGCGCCTAAGCGTCGAACGATGCTATGAAGCGTTCCGGCTTTGATTACCCTCAAGGGAGTCGTCTGCTGTCTCGCAGTGTTGTAGGATTTATTTGTCTCAAGAGCTGCCGTTGACTGTTGTATAATGAAATGAAATGAATTCGTGACCGCAGCACTATGCTCTTGTAGCGTTCGTGAATGGCTACAGCCTAAAAGACGGCGTCCGACCACTCGGGTGACGCACTCATACCGGACCGTGCTACACCTGCCTATGTAATACAAGTTATACAACAGATGGCGGTCAGAGTATTTTCTACCAGAATATAATTCCTACAACGTTGGACCAATAGTGTGTGTCTCGACAGGCCAACGCCACAAAGATGTCAGCGTCCCTAGTGGCGGTGTAGAGACCTAGCGGCCAATAGCGAATAGAGCGCATTCTAGTGCCTGCGACAAGTCAGTCAGAGTCTTACAGGGAGGTGTCGAGGCAAGGAAAACAGAGATGAGTACTGTCTTTCGTTATGAGATAATGATCCGGTGCTACTTCGATTTACAAATGCCATTGACTTCCCGAGACAAGCAATATACAAACGAGAGATGAGACTGAGTGCGGGGACTACTACTAAATGTGAGCGTATGTGGATAACGATCCGACCGAAACAGAAATAAATAAGAAAACAAGCAGACTTCAGAGTAGCGTAGGGAGATTATGACTAACGGGGTATATCAGCGTATGAATGCGGAGCTCGTCTTGACCTCCACGACAATGTTAGCGATCATGAGACAGGTATATCCGATGATGAGGGCGATACCCCAAGTCCGTGGGAGGAAGTAGCCGTTCAGCGGAACGAAGATGAGTGTTGCGAGTAGCAGAACCAGGAGGCCCACGCCAGTGATGAAGAGGGTTGTTGAGAACTCCAGGGGGTAAGGCTCCGAGGTCTGTCTTGTGATATAGGTACCTGTGATGCCAATGCCCAGGAGGATGTTGAGCATTGGCCCGCCGAAGCAAGCGGAGAAGCCCATAATAGGCGCAAACACCTGATAGCAAGTCAGAAAGGATGTCATTAAGGACGAGAATGTGACGCACCGCAACACTCATATTCGCTACGAGATCGGCCAGAGAGTTTCCCATCGCGAAGATAGTCAGTCCTATGATGGCGTCTGAGAGACCAAAGATGAGGCCAAATGTCTACTCGGACATTAGCTCACGTCGATTTGAAAAGACTACAGCAAGCATACCTGAAGGACTTCGACAATCTCGTCTGCAAGTGCCATGATCCAGACCACGGCGACAATGAAACCCATAGTGCACCGCGTCAGCCGTGCACCCTGACTTTCACCGTTCCCACTAAACACTGCGACAAGAATCGCAGCTGCAGCGCCAGCGATGCCCGCCGCCATTAAAAGCCATGGCTCACGACCTGAGCCATCTGCCATTGAAGCGCCTATAAGCATGTATGCGCCATAAAGCATGTCAGGACCACTCACCAAACAGAATAGCCACGCAGAAGAGTGGGGCAAGCACGCACTGCACGGCCATGAGCCACTTGTTGAATTGTAATTCATGCATCTCTTCCTCCACCGCGTCTTCTGCAATCAGCGTTCGCTCGACCCCTTCCTCTTCGAATTCCACTAGGCGGCTCGCGTTATCGAGCTTTTCCTCGTGCGGGCCAGGCATATCGTGGTTCGTTACGACAACCGGTAGCGTCAGCGTCAGAGCCGTAACGGCGGGTGCAGCGAAGACGGCCGCGATCATCCCTAAGTATGACTTCTGTCTGAAGTTGTGCAGAGTTGGGAAGAGGACATGACATATGACTCCGAGGGTCCGGAAGAAGCGTTGTCGGCGAGAAGGGGGGATGTATTGCTCTGGCTCGCTGTCTGTGATCGTCGGGGATGCAGGGATATGGGATATTGTGGGTATAGGCATGTTCTCTACGCCGACCTCCAGATCGTGTGTCGAGCCCATAGGCGAGCGCTGTTCAAGGGGCACGCCGTGCGAACTAAGGGCAGCGTCCCATGGATCGCGAGATTCGTCCCTCAGCAAGGAGGTGTGCGACTGCGAGGAGTTGGTGCGGCGCAGATGAGGATGGTGGTGGTAGTGGCCTCCAGGGTAGGGTGTCAGAGGACTGCTCTCGAAGAGGCTCAGCCGAGTGCCTGCCGCCTGTTCCTGCAGCGATGAGACAACACGTCGGAACTCGAGAGCACCTATCAGCGAGAAGGATGGCATATGACTGGAATGGGGCGAAGGCGTATGTGTCCCTGTCGAGTGAGGTGAGGAGTTGCGGGTGGTCGGTCGGATAGGCAGCTGGATCCCTAGGCGAGGTGGATGTGGCGCCGACACAGCACGACTTCTTTGGTATGGAACTGGAACTTCCAAGTTTGACGAGCTCGTAGGAGCTTGGCCAGCTGTTTCTCTTGTCAGATGTGCTTTTTTAACAAGACCAGAGATGATTTCTTACGCTCGTCCTGATATGGCTCCTGGATTAACGGGGTGTCTTCTCTGTACTCGTCCCTCATCATTTCTTCCATTCGGCGCTGCTTCTCCCTTCTGCGTTCTATCCACGAACCAACAACGACAACTGCAACATAGAACAGGTACAGTCCGACCAAACACATAGCTTCCCAGAGCTCAAGCACGCTGTCCCAGAGCACAACCAGCATGACAACGATGGATATCGTGAAGAAGCCAACGTCACGCAGAAATGGTGCTGGGTTCACTTTGAATGGCTTGATAATGCACATAGATCCGACGACACAACTCGTCACGAAGGCCGCCGCACCGAGGAGCTCGCCAATGGCGAGCCCGCCAGAATTGGAGCGCATCGCAGAGAATGTCGCGAAGACGTCTGGGCTACCGTTGCCAAAGGCGAGAAAAGTGACTCCTGCGACGTTCTCGTCGAGGTGGAGAAGATGTGCCAGTGTCGCAAGGTTCGGACAGAAAAAGTCCGCCGCGCTGATCCCAAGCGTTGAGAAGAGAAAGAGCAGCCAGAGTAAGAGCCCGGCGAAGAGCGTCGGCCGAATGGCGGGCTTTGCGCAAAAGTAGTGTTTCACGTAGGGGATCGAGAGGAATGTATGCGGCGCTGGGCATTCTTCAACGACATTCGCGCATTGCTCCTTGACTGGCAGAGAGACGGGATAGCACTGCGCGACATTAGCTGCTGGGTAAAAAGACGGCTCATAGGCCGTTTTCGACACACACCTGGTCCTCGTACAAAGTCGTCGCGTTCGAGTACGCCAGCATCCTTCCTGATTCCCGCCGTTCCGCTGGGGATGACCTTCTCGCAAGCGAGTGCGCGGGCGAAGACGGTAGCTGCGCATAGCGGGATTGAGACCAGAGCAGGCAGTTTATGACGAAAGCGAGCACAAAGAATAACCTTGGTGTACCACGCCACATAGTATAGGGGAGAAGGTGGTGTTCCCGAGCACTGCTGAGGCTGCGGTACTTATGGCATGCGAGACGGAGGGAGCCTGCCTGAAGGCTAATGCATACCTCCCTCGCTTCCCAAGCGTAATGTCCACTCCGGGGTCCCGCGCCTCCGCTCACATCAAAGACCCCGGGTAGCCCCCCGCGCTGCCCACTCTCCGCTGCCAAACAGAAAACGGCAGCGAGGAATCGCAGCCAGAGAGCCAGAAAAGATACACGCTACGTAGCGCTATCAAGTAGCTGGATGATGCATATATTGCTATTCCTATCGCAAGCTCACAATAATTCTGACATCGAGCCTCGTTCCCGCAGCTATTGGCAGTAGCTTCCACGCCCTCTTCATTCACTAGCACGCGACCTATACTACATCATAAAATCCAGGTTTCTCCGAAATCAATTAGATATAGGCACGAAAACGGTGTCGATAGCATGCGTTCCAAGAGCGGGCACCAACACTGATCGCAAGTCCTTCAGAAGCGTATCTCACCATACCCCTGATACCCCACGCCCCTCAGGTTCCAGTCCGTATCCTTGGGCTGCGTGTTCCCGCTCGTGTCCTCAGCGCGGCTGTACACTATGCCATGGCACTCCACACTGCCGTCTAATAGCGATATCGTCGCCTCCCATAGCGTCCAACTCCACCGGCCCTCTTGGTACTTGATCCTCGCCGGGATCCAGCTCAGCCCTCCGTCGATGCTCACCGATACCGCCCTGATTGGCCCAGCGGGACCACCGACGGCATATCCCTTGACAATGAGTTCCCCGTCGCATAACCCCACGGAGGCGATGACAGAGTTGACGGGATTGGCAAGGATGGGTGGGAGTCTGGACCAATATTGTTCTGCTTGCTCCTTGGTTTGCACCTAAGTCAGAATATAAGAACGGCTTGAACGAGGATGCGCCAGAGTAGTATGTACCTCCGGAGGAAGGACCTTGTAATCCTTCTGCTGATAAAAGTTCTCCGACTCGCGATGTGCTACAGTAATCTGGTCCACCCACTTCACCCAGCGAGCACCAATGTATCCCGGGACGATTACCCGGAACGGGAACCCGTGCTCAGGCCAAAGTAGCTTTCCATTCATCTGCACAAATCAGCCATCAATCCTGCTCATTGTGCTGTCTATTTCGAGCCACTCACCTCATATGCCAAGAGAGCATCGCCGTCCTCGCTCAGCACCTTCTCTAGCGGCACTGAGCTCCCGTACCAGTCGTCCTCCTCGCAGGTGGTAACATGGGACGCGAAACAGGCGTACATCGTCCCCTCCTTACCCGGAGGGTCGCAGATCCCGGCCGCGAGGAGGAGGTCACGAAGGCGTACGCCGCCCCAGCGCACATTCGCGATCAAGGCCTGGCCCCAAAGCACGCCTTCAACGGGCTTGTCCTTCTTGTCCTGCATGATTCTGCGACGGTTGCCTGCGCACTACTCCACTCATCAGTTCCTTCTTTCCATATGAAGAGCCTTCAATCGTACATGCATCGCAGCAACAACCTCGACCTTCGGAAACTTCTTCTGTATATCTGCTAGCGTGTACTCCGCTTCGTGTTCCACAAGGCCGTCGACCTTGACCTTGAACTTCTGCGCGATTAGATGCTCGATCGGACCTGCCCATCCCGCTGTCAGTGCACACGAGTATGTCATAAGCGAGAAAAACGCACCATGATTCCTCGCATACACCAAGTCCACTGGTGTGATAGGGTGCTCTATGAGCTGCTTGAGCGGCGGCTCGGCGTTAAATGGCCACTCTTTAAGCACAATTAGTCTGTCTTGAGACATTTGCGACGTATGCCAGTAATATATGTATAGCAACGAAACGTGTCCGAGGGTGTAGTACTCGGTGAGGTTTGTTGGCGAGAGAGTGCGAGACAATTTCAATCGTGGCCTGGGGGTGGGGCAGGTGCGTCATATAAACCATCCGAAGCCGCTGGCCCGCGTCTCTGGTCCATATTGTCCCGAGATAACAGTGCAAAGAAACGTCGCATGTGATGCTTTGCATAGTAGGATCCTCCGCGCCCATCAGCTACGGCGCTGCAAAGTTGGAAAGCCAAGAGCCTGGGCCGGTGCCTGAGATAGTGGCGTAACTTTCGGAAGGTGTTACCGATAGCACGGGATGCGACGGAACAATAGAACAATCCTAGTAACGGAAGTCTAGAATCGGTGTAGGAGTGGGCTACAAGAGCTGAAGTACAGGTGGCTGTTCATTTCAAGGGTTAAGAGCGATAAATGTCTCGGATCTTATCAGACGCCACAATGGTACGCCGCCTCACCTTAATCGCAGACCTGCCTTTTCCGGGAGTTGCTCGCTCCTTGGTCTTTCTCGCTTGTGAGATCTGCTTTACTGCGATAAACACGAACAGTATCACTTCTCAAGACAGCGGTCATCAAGGAAATGTGGGCAAGGGTACGTAAAACGGGCGGAAGCGCAGAATGCTTTCAAATTCGACGCAGAACTGAGTCCATCGCGCAGCAGTGCCAACTGTAAACAACGGAACGAGGCCCGTATGCTTGTATCAAAGATAAGTAGAGGCGCTATCTCAATATTCAATGCTTTACTTCTACCGGGGCAAGCAGCCGTACAGTACATTCATTGCTATCTGTTCGGCTGCCGACTGCGTACTCATATGACACCGGGCCGGAGCTAGCACCTACTGCCAGCGTTTCTCGTTGTGGATCACTGATGCTTGAGGGAAAGCGTTTGAGATAAGTGTGCAGAATTTTCTGATACCAACCGGTTCCGAGCCGAACATGCAGATTCCTCCGGTGGGTCTGTATAGGTTCTGCAACCTTACAGGTCCGACACATACCTTATTTTGTTACTTCCTGCACCTTCGTCGTTCAACTTTGAGTATCTCTGCCTTCTATACCTGACTCCACGCCTCCCTCGTTTGGAAGTGAAGCAGCATTCCTGATATGAGTCTCCGATGAACTACAAAGTTACGGTATCCACAGCAGTGTGCACTACGCTTCCCGATGCTCCCATTGGGCCAATTCTCTGTGAGTACAACATTTTCATACGCATATAAACTATACATACTGGTCACTGGGACCTATCATCACATCCGTGGAGGGCATCAGCCTATTCTATCTCCGTAACTCCTAGAGACTCGGAGCTAACCCACATTACCTTGAGCGCGCCGTCGACATGCCCTGGGCGTGTATCCGATTCCTAATAGCGCGTGTAGGCCCGCGCACCGCAGCACAGCTTAGTATCTAGACTGATAATTGGCGGTGGAGCGAGTATGCGTTTGTCGTGTAGTCTTCAGGATCCACCTGGTGCTTTGTACGGGGCCTGCCTATTAGCGTGTGAGGCTTTCCAGATAGCCATAACTTTATTATTATTATAGAAAACAGAAGACGGTAGCTGTCATAAGTATGAAAATTATATTGCTCAATGAGGCAAACCTCGCATGGCACTACAAGCTGAGGCAGCTGTGCAATGTTCAATCGACTATCTGTTTTCGCGACTTACAACTTCACTAGTACTACGATAATTTCGCGCAATATTCATTCATTGAGACGCGACGTGCATCACACTACACTACAAATTCAAGCTTCTCTGCCACTAATGAGACACAAGTACAGGAATTAAGTAATACAAGGGGCGGAATGTGGAAAACTACTGTACACGGGCTAACCCTACGGCTACCCTAACCTAAGACGAGCGTGCTCAAGTCAAAGGGACAGCAGATGAGCCGAGAAGGAGCCCAGGAACGTCGAGCTGCAGGGAATCATAAAAAAGAAAGAAAGAGACTTATTCCCATGCCATGTAGAGCCGTAACCGTACACAAGTCTTTCAGAACTGCGCCTCACCATATCCAGCGGCCGCCACGCCCTTCGGATTCGAACCTGTGTCCTTGGACTGCGTGTTCCCGCTGGTGTCCTGTGCACGACTGTACACTGTGCCGTGGTATTCGGCCGGACCACCTAGCAGCGAGATCGTCGCCTCCCATAGCGTCCAGCTCCACCGGCCGTCTTGATATATAATCTTCGCCGGGACCCAATCCCGGCCCCCGTCGACGCTCACCGATACCTCCTTGATCTGCCCAGCCTCTCCGCCAACGGCGTACCCCTTGATGATCAGCTGCCCGTTGTGTATCTTTACGGAGCCGATGACGGAGTTGATGGGGTTGGCGAGGATGGGTGGGAACTTGGACAAGAATTGGTCTGCTGGTTCAGTGGCTTGCACCTAAGTGAAGACATGAGGATCTCGTCATAATGAGAAGTGCGCTGGAGTTGCGTGTACCTCTGAAAGGTTATCCGACTCGTGATGCGCTATAGTGATGCGGTTCACCCACTTCACCCAACGCGTACCGATATAGCCTGGGACGACTGTTCGGAACGGGAAACCGTGCTCGTCTCGAAACCGCTTCCCATTCATCTACGCGCATCATTTATCAATCCTCTCAACTACACCATTTGTGCCGAGCCACGCACCTCATACGCCAGAAGTACGTCGCCGTCCTCACTCAACACCTTCTCCAGAGGCACAGAGGTACCAAACAGTTCGTCCGGCTTGCCGGGCTCAGTGATATGGGACACAAAATGCGCATATGTCTTCCCCGGCCTGTGCGAGACGCTGCGGACCCTAGCTGCGAGAAGGAGGTCGCGCAGACGTACGCCGCCCCAGATCACATTCGCGATCTCTTTCCTGAGCACGCCATGAATGGGTTTGTCCCCGCCCTGCTCGCCGGTATGGGGATTCCCCGCGCACTGCGACGCCAGTAAGTCAGCCGCCTCGCTCTCTCCCACCGAATGGCAGCCACACATACGTCCAGCGCAGCGACGACCTCCACCTTCGGGAAGTTCTGCTGTATCTCTGCCAGCGTGTACTCCACCTCTTGCTCGACGAGGCCATCGATCTTGAGTTTGAACGTCGCCGCGTCCAGGTGCTCGATCGGGCCTGCACAGCCACTGGTGTCAGCGCACACGAGCACGCAGCCTGCTTCGGCTCGCAAGCACAACGCACCGTGGTCCTTCACGAAGACCAAGTCGACCGGCGTGATGGGGTACTTGATCACCTCCCAAACTGGCGGCACGGCGATGAACGGCGGATGCCCGTCGTGCACTGTGGTGAGTTTGTCCGACACCGACATTTGCGATGTACGTTCGATCTCTGCTTGTTTGGGGGCAAGTAAGATGGTTATATGCGCGAAAACACCAGTGGAGGTATGATATCAGGTCGTTGTGGTGTCCTGGCGTCATCTCGAGCTAAGAGCTCGCTGTTGGCCGGCTCGAGCTGTCATAGAAGATTTCCTAAGTAGGCTTTTCGCGGAAAGGCTAGACCCCTACCTAATGCAGTCCGCATCGGAGCCACTGGTGGCATACTACAATGTCGCTATGTCTACAATGGTCAAAATTTGTTACACGGCCGTATAATTTGAAGCAGAGCAGGAAGTGGACTATTGCACGCTTAGGAAGCTCGACTCGGCCCGGCTCCCAAAAGCCGAACCACTACCAAGCCGAACCGGACCACGGCTACAGATTTGTGCCACATTATTTTAGAGTGCAAATTTCAGGCAGTTTTCAAAATCGTCTGCTTCCGCCAGTGTCTTCGGAGCGAAGTGAGTGCCCGAAATGGCGGCAAGACATTCGGGGGAAAATGTGCCGGGCGTTATGGAGTGTCAGAGCAACCTTCTGAGAGGGCACATCTTCGCTGGGGTAGGCTGTAGGAGCGTGAAGCCAAAAGTTTGTGCAGATGATCGTTCGGTTCAAAAATTCAAAACGCAGGACTGATCTCAGATCGCACCCGACGCCACAACGGCACCATCGTCGTAATCTCAGACCTGCCTTTTCTGGTTCACTCCCGCCCCTCAACTACGCGAGATGCAAAGTCCGACTTGCCGATGCATTGCTAGGAAAAAGAGTGGACGTACATGCACAACCAGGAAGTCCGAGTTAAAGAAAGTAATATTGGTGTGCGTACTGAAAACAGCTTTTGAGGCATCGGGAGTTACTAGCAATACATCCATCTCGCCCGCCCCTGCAGGCAGAGACAACGGTCATCGAAGGCCGGCGAATCGCAATAGCAAGTCTACTACAACAGAAATCTACAATATGCGAC